CTTACTGAAGTGGATCATTAGGAAGACGCATAGACCTTCACAATCTGTTCTGAGGGATCAGTCTTTCTCTACCACTAGCATCAATGACAGTAGCATCTGTCAGTACAGTACAAGTTTACTGAGTACAGTAAACAGTACAAGTTTACTGAGCAGAAGAAGAGGTATCATATGAAGCAAGACAGCTGAGCATAGCCCATCCAAAGGGAAGTTCAATAACCATGTGATCATGGTTATTGAACTTCCCTTTGGATGGGCTATGCTCAGCTGTCTTGCTTCATATGATACCTCTTCTTCTGCTCAGTAAACTTGTACTGTTATCTAGGAAGAAGGAAAACAGGTTTCATTTTTCCAACAATCGTCTGTCACAACATCTTCATGTTCAGCTGCATGTTCTTCTATCAAAAAGCATATCCCAGTGGCTAGAAATAGAGTCTTTGTGTGTGCATGGAAAATAGGAATAACCCCCCCCCCTAAATTTAAGCCTAGCCAAATAAATTTTATAAATGCAGTCCCCCCCCAAACACATAACATCATAAATTATCTAGTAAACAATTAGTTTGGGGAAGTTTCCTATTTATTAAATTACCAATTTATTAGTTTAGACTTCATCCTTTTTTTCCTATAAAGGGCTTCCCTTCATTTTTGTAAGTAATTAAAAGTGTAGGTGCAATGGGATATATTGTGAAGCCACCTTGTACAAGTGATAAATGAAGTCTGCTTCTAAAACTAAAAACACCAGATTTGTAGTAATCTGCCTTTTTAGGCAAAAGAGAGAAAGAAAGACTTGTAAATGATGATCAAAAGTATTTTTGGGTATAAAATCATTTCTAAACATTCTTGGGGGAAATAAACAGAAAAACTTTTTTTTTGATACACAAGTACCATGAGAATGGAGGACCAAGCACAATACAGCTCCTCGAACAAAATAAATAATGACAACAAAAAAAGCAAAATAATGTTTCTTGGGAGATCCAAATTGCACAAAAGAAAGAGAAAGAAAATAGAAATATTATTCTGTTATCAGGAAATACATATATTTGCTACCTATCACTTAACATGCTAAGCAATATTAATAAATATTAGAATTAAAATTAGAATAAATATTAGAATACTCTGGCTTTTAGCAGTATATAAAATAAAATGTTCTCAAGGCAAAAGGTTCTATGACATAAATGTTCAGAAAAATATTGTTTGTATTTCAAGTTATTCTGAGGTAACCATCTGTAAAAAAAAAAAGTTATGATTCAAAAATTGTTTACAATTATGTATATTTTCTGACCAAAAGGAGAAAATGTTACTAGTAGGATATTCCTTGTCACATTTTTATGCATTTTCATTCAGAATCCATTGAGAAACCTAATTCTGCAAGAGAATCCCAAAGGTGCATTTTTCAAAAGGCAAATGGACTTTCTTTTTCCTTGAAGATGTTTTGCTTCTCATCCAAGAAACTTCTTTAGTTTTGACTGAATGGTGGAGGATGAAAGGATTTACATATATTCTTTGTGGTCATCTGGTCATTAGCACTCTTTTTGAGAGTCGCTGAGGCCACTTGGAGTTTGTGCCCTTAGTCATGGGAATAGCGCAAATGGGTGTGCAACCTTCTTGGAACTGCTGAAAGGACCATGTTGTAAACTGGAGATAGATGGTGTTGTATCCCTTCCCCCTCTGTTGAGAGAGGGCTCTTCAATCTTAATGTAGAGGACCCTTTGATTCAAATTGACCCATATATTGATACATGGTTTCTGTTGCTATAATTCTGTCCCTTACCCCTTTCAAAGAGTATTGATTCACTTCAATACAGTTGCTGATATTTCCCTATTTCTATTGCTTTCAAACACTAGCAATAGTTAAATTGTTTCCAGTTTGTAATACTTCCTATCAGTTTCAGGTACTTTCATGGCATTGGTTCCCATTACAGGTAGTCTTCGACTTACAACCAAAATTGAGCCCAAAATTTCCTTTGCTCAGCAAGACAGTTGCTAAGTGAGTTTTGACCCATTTTATGACCTTTCTTGTCATAGATGTTAAGGGAGTCACTGCAGTTGTTAAGTTAGTAAGATGATTGTTAAATGAATCTGGCTTCCACATTGACTTTGCTTGCTGGAAGTCACAAAAAATGGTCACATGACTCTGGGCCACTACAACCATCATAAATACAGGCTCATTGCCAAGCTACCAAATTTTAATCAGATGACCATGAGGATGCTGCAACAGTCGTAAGTGCGAAAAATGGTCATAAGTCACACTTTCAGTGCTACTGTAACACAGTCACTAAACAAATGGTTATACAGACCAACTGTATTTTACTAAATATCTGTCACAGTGATAGGATTCCCTGACGTGGTTTAAACAACTTTAATCCAGGTTTAACAAAACATGAAATAATATATATTATGCATGGATAAAGCATGAATTGTTTTTAGCAAAAGCAAGAAATGCTTGAAGTACATTTGTTATTAAAAATACACTAGGCTATTTTTAAACTTTTTAGCTAGGGCAGGTTTAACTAGTAATTTCTGTCTTCAGAATGTTAAATAATACATTTTTCTTTCGGAGGTATATGTGATATAATAATGTACACATTTAGAAGAAATACGGTAAAGTACAAGTAACAAGTATTAATGATTACTGAATATGTAGTTAATGCAAAGTTTCTTGAAGATAATGGACTAAAATCAATGGATTAAAGATAATATTGATTCCTGTGGGTCTACTACAATTATTACTACAGTCAGCTCTATTATTTTATGGTGCTCTCTTTTATAATACAAGTTTGGAGCCAGTCCAATAAATGCAAATTCAATGAAAACTGATTAGAAGATTATATGGCTTATAGCATATAAGATTTAAAACAGATGATAAAATGAATATTTACTGAGCTGAACATAGGTTATTTGAATTCAGACTATTGAAAGCAATGTATCTCCACACATTTCAGAAGAAGAAAAAAACCTTAAAGAGTTTATACATTAAATGGCTATGAGAATGTTTAAAGGAGCCAGATAAAAACTTTTTCTTCATACCATTTCAATAATGCATAATGCTACTGTATAAAAAAAATCTCACATTTCTTGAAGTTTTGAAAACTGTCTTGTTCCTACTTGATCAAAATCTTGTTGAGTGCAAACAAGTGGAAATTGTACTGTACAATTTTAGAAATAAGGGGAAAAGTTTTAATAAATGCAATATTGCATATAGCTTTATTTTGTCTTGTATTATAAATGTTTTTGAGTAGAAAGTAATCTAGAGCAACCTTCTTAAATTAATATATCTAATATACCTTCATTCTAGTCTAGTGGGAAAGTGATAAAATAACAATTTTTCCCTTAATCACTTGTTATCCTCTGAAATTTTTATTTCATTTTTAAAGCCAATTCTTCTCCAAATTCTTATAACAATTTGTTTATTTTTAGAATATATATTTATATATCTAATATAAATATATTTAGTATAAACTAAACTATTTAGGTTATACTTGTATATTATATGTAATATTGCAATTAAAATATTTAAGTACTCACTGCCATGCAGAATGTATGCAGAAAATGCACATTAAAATATATTTAAATATAATAAATACAATATAATGCTGTACATATAATTTAATCCGGTTTCTTATTTTTTAGTTCTTTAAAATGTTTTATTAGCATTACTAATTTAGAGATTATGAAGATATTTGACATTGTATTTCTTTTTAAATTTTATGCCTTTTCTCCACTGCTGTGGATTAATAGATTTAAGTTTATATGTCACTTTCTTTGTACACAAGACCCAGCATGGCTCTAAAGTTCAAAATTAAAAAAATAAGAAAAACAATAGTATTAGAACCAAGAAGAGTTAATATTATTGATTAAAATCAATATCAGGCTTTTTGTTTATATAAAAAAATTAAGTAAGTGCCTGTAAACATGGAAATTCCAGTTAGGTAATATGGCCCATATGCCAGCCATGAATCTTTGTTATCTAATCATTTCTTATTTCAAAGTTATCCAAATATTTTGTTGCAACATATTTCACAAATTAACTCCTGGAAAGGAGTTGGCCAGTTATTATCTTCATTGGTTGTCCTTCCATTGGTAGAAAAACATTTTCTCTGATATTCCTATAGTTTTCTTGATTTCATAAGTCTCTCTCAATACATTTCCTGGCAAAAAATTCAAATGTTTCAAACAATCAGAATAATTTATGTACTGTTCGTTTTAGTTCCCTCTTTCTAAATTCTCCAGCCATCTGGTAGTGCCATATTGTAATGTGTTTGGGGAAAAGGTACGGTATTCACCAATCCTAATATATGAATGCACCCCCATGGAATAATAAAGTATATATTATTTAAGATTCAGAGCTTGGATGCAAATGCCTATTTACTGTGAAAATTTGCTGTAAAATTAATATAATCTTTTATTGACATATTTGTTTAACTGTGGTTTATAGAATAAATTAAATTGGTTGGTTGCATACAAGAGATAAACAATACAGTTTCCAAAGAAGTTGATAACTATTTAATCTATATTTTGTGCAAAGTTGTCATAGCTAAAAGGAAGAACAAAACACTGGCAACATTTTGGAGGTAGTTTGTAATGTCCCTGTTATAACTAAATATGAGTTTCCCTAATTGTTATATCTCACTGTTGAATGATGGCAATGATAACCTAACAGACTGTCTCAGTTTTTATGAAATGTATGAAAAAAATTGCAACAAGAATTTTATATTGGCATACACGTTGGTTCAGATTTTGCAGGCCTTCATACACTCCCTTTAAAATAGCTTTCATTTTATATAATATTATTTGTACTGTTAATTGCATTTTTACACCACACAAACTGCTTTGAGCACATTAAAAAAAAATATTTGAGATGTTTAAGGTAAATTAAATCTTAGCTATTGGGATGTTAAAAAAAAATCATCGTCTTTAGAGAAATAAAAAGTTTGGATAGTGAATTATTAAAAAACAGGATACCTTTAAGGCTACCCTGAACATCATAGTTCGTTTGTATTACAGTATCGTCCCGGGCGGGATCCTCAACGAGGCTCTGATAATGTCTCCAACAAGTCTTCAGACAGTGATGTCAGTGATGTATCAGCAGTCTCGAGAACCAGTAGTGCATCCCGTTTTAGCAGCACTAGTTATATGTCTGTGCAATCAGAACGGCCAAGAGGAAACAAGAAAATTAGGTAAGAAACTACAAGTCAGCTTTAATCTTGTTTGGATCCTAGTATCATCTCTTCCGGTACATTTTCTGAAATTTCAGTGTTACCTTCTGCATTTGTTTATGTTCAGATTCCTTGAAAGTATGTAAGTTACTTGCTTTCAAAACAAACTATTTACTAAAACTCCACACTATAGGGCAATTTAAAATAAATGTTCTGGATTATAATAGTAGTAGGATGTATGGATCTTAATCATAAATTTATGTCATGGTAATGTAAACCTCATAAAGACATTCCTAAAATAGGCCAGTTCTAAAAACTTCCTCCCCTCAGTATTGCTTTAATTCTGCCTGTAAGTGAACCAAATTGTCTTCCAAGTGAATCAGGATACTGTAAACTTCATGCTGCATTATGTGTGCAGCTGTATGAATCTTAACATTCCTTCTGCAGACAAGATAATATTTAATGTTGGTAGTGGTTATAGATTCCACAAAGACATAGAGCAGTATTACAGATGTGTATTTCTGTACAGCACATGCAGAAAGATCCATAAATAGTTTTGTCCTGCATCTTAAAGAATATCTATACAGACATTTTTGTCATTCATGTTATTCTACAGTCTTCTTGCCATTTCTACTCTTAAAAATAGTAAGACTCTATCTTAATTAGTTTGTAGAATTGGGCTGCATGATTTTTTTCTTTCATCACTGTCATTTAGCATTTATTTTGTGGCTGTCCTCCCCCACCCTCAGCTCAGTAAAAAGTTTTGATTCTGTCTAGCTTTCCTAACTGGCTTCTGTCTTCTTTTTTATTTACTTGCATGCTTCCTCAATTTTTGTTTACCTCAGAAGATCACATGAGGAAAAAAAAGAGGGATGGGAGGAAGGGGATGGGGAAGTATTCCTTGAGAAAGAAGAGGAGAATCAGGAACTGGAGAAAAAGTTGGATGAACAAGATGATGAAAAGGGGGAAGGGGAGGAGGTGACAAAGAACTGTGATGAGGAAGATAAACAAACAGAAGAGAATGAAGGGGCCCAAGAGGAGATAACTGAGGAAGGAACAGAAACAAACAATAAAGAGGATTTGCAAAGGAGATATTCACAGGATGATCTCAGGTAAAATTAGATTTCTATTTATTAGAGAGTTCTATCATTTGCAGTAGTATCTTTATGTTTCCTTTTTGTGTTCATCATTAAATTTTAGCTTAGTATTTTAATAGTCAATCAATGTTCTATTTCGTTAAATTATTTTAAGAAATAACAAATTACAGAAATATTACCCATCTTATATAGCAGTAGTTCTCCACCTTTTCTTCACCATTGACCTCCTCTAAATACCTTTTGTGGCCATGGACCTTGGCCACAGATCACCAAGACCTAACTCAAGATTTAAATCATAATCTTTCTTCAAGTCTTCATGGACCCACTGTAATGACATTGTGGCCCCCCAGGAGTCTGCGGACCACAAGTTGAGAACCACTGTGGTATAATATAGAAATTAAGGCCAACAATTGATTGATCTTGATTCACATTAAGCTGAAATTCATGAGATAAATATAGAAAGGCCATCTAGTTCTTAGATTTTTGTCACATTAACAGAATTCTGTCATACCAACATATTTCATGATATATAAATATAACATTTTGGAGCTGTGTAGATAGAATTCTTTAGGCAGAATGAACATCAGTATGAATGGTCTTAAATGTCATTAATACAAACCATATGAAGAAAAGACAATATATTTTTCATTTTTGTTCTCATAAGGGAATAATTTTATCAGGATAATAATGGGTTACTCAAGCCATCCATTATTTAATGTATGACCGAATCTTGCGGAAACTGAGGGAATATGCTATAAAATTCTATTCTTATCTGAAGGGGGAGATACTTTGATCAATAGTATTAATTCTATTGTTAGTATTATATGTTTTAAAACTTTCAGAAATGGAGATATTATTACAGGTTTTCTTTTCTGAACATGAGCCTCTTCACAAAATCACAGAATCATAGTTCCTCTAGGAAGCCATTTAGGCACTGAATCCAAAACCCCGTTAAGTGCAGTAATTAAAACTTAAATATCTTAGATGCTTGAATGGATCTATTGAAAATGAACCAATCATCTTTCTGGGTGACTGATTCAACTGTTCAACTAGACTTTACTGTTTTTTCCCCTAACATTTAATTGGAAACTTTTCTGTAGCTGAAATACATTATTTGGTGTCCTACAATCTGTTATAATGTCTTCCATGACATTCTTTTCAGATATTTGAAGAATGTTAACATAACTCTCTTATTCTTCAGTTTTTCCTTAAAGGGTTTAGTTTCCAATGCTGGATGATCCTTGTTGCTGGTTTCTAAACCTGTTCCAATTTTGTTTGAAACTTTCTAACATTTTACTGCTCAGAACTGTAAATACAATATTAATACTGACCAGCACAAGCATGACAATGTGATTTGGAAAATAGATTTTTATAGGTATAACCTAAAATTGTGTGTGTGTGTGTTTTTTTAGTCACACCATTCTACTGCAATCAAAATATTTTTTTAAATATTATTGATAAGCCAGATATCTCTTGTCCTATACTTGATTTATTTTTCCTAAGTGAAGAGTTTGATTAAATCTCAGTCTGTTGCTTTTATCCATTTTTCCAATTTATCAAGATTCTTTTAAATTTTACTTCTGTCTTGTAGGCTAACTATCCCACTGAGTTTTATGTCTTCTAGTAATTTCATAACTAGTACTTTCACATTTTTATCCAAGTCATTAATAAAGGTGTTGTAAAATACTGGGTTCAAGTCTGAACATGGTTGCATCCGGTTGGTATCTCCTTTCAGTTTGATGAATCACATTTGAGAACTTTTTCAGATCACACAGGCAAAATACAAACTTTTCTCTCACTATTGAATTTCTTTATATTTTTTATCAATTTTTTATGGCACCCCATCTCAGAAATAGCTACTCTGTGCAGCATACAACAATTAAAATAATGGGGAACAGCACAATGGAAGTGGTTGATTGAGTAATAACACATTCCACCTCCGCACCCAACCCAACCCGACCCTTCCCATATGCCCTTAGTTTTTATGTATGATTTTAACTTTTTATGTTTTAATTGTATATGTAAGCTGCCCAGAGTTACCCTATGGTAAGATGGGCAGCAAATAAAATAAAAAATAAAATAAAATAATACAATATAGAAATAGTAATAGAAAAGTAGTTGGGCTTAACTGTACTGTTTTTACTCAGAACAAAATCTCTGGGGCATGAGAATTGACTGTAGAAATAACTGGAAAGGAATTCATAATGCTGGGATTGGGAATTTAAAAGCAGAGTATGACTATTGATCAGCATAAAGGAGAGAAGAAATGAACAAAGGTATGAAGGAAATTTTGAAGGCATATATGGCCAAGTATTTCTCAGGAGACAAAGATCATAAGAATCCAGAAGGCAGAAAAAGCAAGAGCCAAATGTTTCAGCCTAGAAAAAAAAAACCACTCAATCAGTGCATAGAAAAAAACCTGTAAGATTGTTACACGCATTCTGTTTTGCATGATTTTCATTCACTGTAGTTCCAGAGGTTTTTTTAAGTGTAAAACATTGTATATACTCTTATCTTCCTGTGTTCTACATTTATATTTATTGAGTTTTGTTCACAGCTTTTAAAATAACAATTCATATGTACGTTTTGAGCAAAATCTGGAAAACTGAAGTTTAAAGGATAATTTTGTTTCATCCTATATAGTTTTGGAAATTGCGATTAACGTCTAATATCCATAGATGAAACTAGTTTAGATAACAGCATGAAAACAAAATTCAACCCACATCTATCTTCAGTTGATCCTGGCATAATACTGCCTTCTCTTGACAATTGACTTAACTTAAAACAATAATACAAAATAACTTGTTAATAGAGATTACCATATTTTTTGTAGAAGACAAAAAAGGATATGTTTAATTATGAGTACTGCTTTAATTTTACTTACTTTCCCAATGGTTTTTCTAGTTATTTAAAGGCTCTCCATACCCTATTCCAGTGATGGGATTCAAATATGTGAACAACCAGTTCTCTGTATGGATGCCGCTTCCAGAAGTCCATTCTGGGCAACAAAAAATTAGCTACTGGTTCTGCCGAAGTGGTGCGAACTGGCTGAATCCCACCACTGCCCTATTCTAAATCTATTATCAGAGTCATTGTTTTTTAGTCATTGTTATATATAACAATATATATTAGGTTTTTACTCCCATCATACTTGCTAATTACAGAAATCTTTTCCGCAAGCTTTCAATTTATTTAATAACATTAATCAGCAGTATATCATGTTACCTAAGTTTGTATTATGATTTTGTTTATTTCATGTATTTTTGATGGTTTGTTGCCTTAAAATTAAAACATAAAGAAAATAGTTTTTAAAATTTTTATGACATTTTTATGCTCCAATTTCATTGAATGAACTGATTTTTTATGTTCAATTTAGCTTAATATACAGTATTTCTCTTATAGAAAGCTTCAATTTGTGTGTGTGTGTAATCTAACATTATAAATATAACTGGGCTACATAAATATCCACAATAACAATTCTGAATGACAATGAATTAAATATTATTTGTTTCCATTATAGGTTGAGGTATTAAGGAAATCAAATTTTTAACTTTGTTTTGCACTCTTAAATACACTAAGTATGCTTATCTACAATAGAATTCAAACTATTCATTTTGAAATAGCTCTAGTGCACTTGTGCATATTCATATTAGCACATTTTTCAGATCACTCTTATCTTTACGTTTTCTCCTTGTACGTAAAGGCCTATTGGAGATAATCAAAATATTAACCAATCTGTTAGATATAGATTCTGCCTTTCTTGCAGGAGGTCAAAGCAGCTTACACAGCCTACTCTTGTTTTTCCCACAAAAGTAAATTAAAATTGAATTAATAATGCAACATAACCTAACTTATAATTTGCATATATATATATACTGTATGTGTGTGTGTGTGTGTGTGTGTGTGTGTATACACAGTATATTCCGGCGTATAAGATGACTTTTGAGAGCGTCAAAACAGCCTCCGAACTCAGGGGTCGTTTTATACGCTGAGTCGTCTTATACGCCGGAAATAAGGTAGTTTCTGGCGTATAAGACGACTTTCTAGGCATGAGACTTGGCATCGATTGTCTTATACGCCGGAAATAAGGTAGTTTCCGGCGTATAAGATGACTTTCTAGGCATGCGACTCGGTGTTGATCGTCTTATACGCCGGAAATACCAGTAGTTTCCGGCGTATAAGACGACTTTCTAGGCATCGACTTGGCGTTGATCGTCTTATAGCTGAAAATACCGGTAGTTTCTGGCGTATAAGACGACTTTCTAGGCATGCGACTTGGCATTGATTGTCTTATACGCCGGAAATAACGTAGTTTCCGGTGTATAAGACAACTTTCTAGGCATGCGACTTGGCGTTGATCGTCTTATATGCCGGAAATACTGATAGTTTCCGGTGTATAAGATGACTTTCTAGGCATGCGACTCGGCGTCGATGGTCTTGTGACCCGGCGTCGAACTAGGGGGTCGTCTTATACGCCGGAATATACGGTATATGTTTATATATATATATATATATATATATATATATATATATATATATATATATATATATATATATGTCTTTGGTTGTTCGGGTTTTCTCCCGCGTAAAATTGGAAGTGTCTTGGCAACGTTTCGACGAAGTCACATTCGTCATCTTCAGGCTGGTGTTTTTAGCTTCTTGCTTTGAGCAGCAATGTGTGGTTTTAGCTGTTTCTTCCTTTTAACTGCCAGTGAGGGTATGAACTGATTGGATGGGAGCTTGGCTGTGTTCTGATTGGGTGGAGGTGTGTTCTGAATGGTTAGGGGCTTGGCTGTGCTCTGATTGGCTGGGGGAGTGTTCTGTTTGGTTGTGCTCAGGTTAGTCTGAGTTGCAGAGGGGTTTAAGATTTTGGGGTTAGGGAGTCGTTTGTCAATAAGGGCAGGTTTCCAAATGGCTGGTAGGCGGGAGGTATCATCTCGCTTGTTCATGCTGTGTGGGCGTTTTTCTATCTCGATGGCTTCTCTGATTATTCTGTTATTAAAATGTTCACTTTT